TATTTATTTATCAGCACAAATATAACATACATACATACATACATACATACATACATACATACATACATATGTTTGTGCTGATAAATAAATAAAGGGAGACTAGTATAGATCTATTTCAAGCTGTTTAGCTCTCATCAGCTAGCCATACCCTTACTGAGAATCGAGTACACACACACACACATATATACATATACACATACACATACACATTATTATTATTATTATTAATTCAATTTGTTTCATGGCTCCATTTTTTTTATTTTAGGGACTCCTGGTGTCAAAACATGGTAGGTTTTAAAAAAAAAAATCCTTGCAGGCTCCTTAATGAGGCTCTGGCCATCTGGAATGCGGGCGTGTTTAAATTGGAGAGCTATTTCAGGGTGTGTTCCCATAGGAAAACACCACTTGTACTCCATTGCGTGTGCTCACAATTGTGTTCTTTGAAGCCACTGTTGCCTTTATAAAATACTTTTGGCCACCTATCTTATTCTTTAGGGGGCATCCTCAGAAATGTTTTAGGAAAGGAAAACACTTCCCAATTATGCAAACTTTTCTCACACACACACACACACACACAAACCCTTAACTATTAACTGAATAGTGGCTTAAAAATTAGGAAAAAAATCATGTGAGTCAGGTTGAGAAAAAGGAAACTTAGGAGATGCGCTGCCTGGGGGCATTCTGGGAATTGAAGTTCACCCTTAAAGTGGTTGAGAAACACTGCTTTTGGCAGAGATTATTTGGAAGAGCACTGATGATGTAACCTAGTTGGGTAATTAAATGTCAATTGAAAACAACCAAACTCAGTGAGCATCAAGGATCTCAGAGTCACCCTTCTCTTCCCTGTTCCTCCTCCACACCACAAACCCCGCTCCCTTCTAGCACTGATGGTGTTACCTAGTCAGGTAATGAAATGCCTGTAAGAAAACAGCCAAGCTCAGAGAGCACCAAGGACCCCAGCAGTTAATCAGAGCTGGAAGGGACCTTGGAGGTCTTCTAGTCCAACCCCTTGCCCAAGCAGGAGTCCCTCGACCATTTCAGCCTTGAAGCACCCACACCTGGAGGCAGGTCGTGCCACTGGTTAATTATTCTCACTGTCAGGAAATTTCGTCTTAATTCCACGTTGCTTCTCTGCTTGATAAAAGTTTCCATCCATTTCTTCTCGCTCTGCCTTCAGATGTTTTGGAGAATAGTTTGACTCCCCTCTTCTTTGTGGCAACCCCCTGAGATATTGGAATATTGCTGTCATGTCACCCCAGTCCTTTTATGTAAACTTTATAATCATAACTCCATTATTATTATTATTATTGTGCCTGGGCAAAATTTGCTAGGACAATGTTGAGCGGTCCTATCAGCCCCCTCCTGCATTTTTTGCAAAACTAGCTTTTTGCAAAAACGAACACGAAACTAGTTTGTTTTTTTTTTGCAAAAACTAACACGGTGAGTTGAAAGAGGATTCTGCCCTGCACATCATTTGAACTGGGGCGAAGTGCGTGCATTTTTTAAAATCACATTTCCTTGAAGACGGTAAGCATCTGCTCATCAAATGCCCAGATGACTAGAAATGAAAGTAGGGAAATGAAAATTGTTTTTCCAGTTGAACTTATCTGCTTTGTAGGTGAACTTTTTCCTCTGTTTTCGGGAAAGCGTGTCGTGCTTCCCCCACCTCCCCCACCCCCTCCCGGTTTTCGACTGCTGATTTTGAACCGTCAGGGGGGGAAAAACCGAAGCAAAATATTTAGCGTCGCTACAGAGGTTGCTAACGGGGTTTCACTCGAGCAGAATGTCACATTTTGGCTGGATGGATTTTAATCTCGGGGGAGTTTTTTTGCACCCACACAGAGTATGATTTTCTAATAGTGATAAACTTGAGGTTGGCTGGCCTAAAAATAATAATAATAATAATACAAGTCCCAATGGTTTTTTTTTAAAGGCTCTTGAAATGGTGGCTTGCAATATATGTCAAACTTAAGCAGCTTTTACAATGCTGCTGGGGGGAAGGGACTTACGACCGGTCCTCAAAACTTATGACCATTGCAGCATCCCCATGCAATCAAAATTGATCTGCTTGGCAGGAGCCAAGGTGGCGCAGTGGTTAAATGCAGCACTGCAGGCTACTGCTAGATCAGCAGTTCAGCGGTTCAAATCTCACCGGCTCAGGGTTGACTCAGCCTTCCAT